GTGTAGCAAAGTTAACATTACAAAAGATACCTATTTATAGTTAGATTTACCTGTATGATATAAGTTAACGATATAATACATACACGGTTATCAATTTTACCTATATCTAGATAGTTAATGTTATTCAGAGGTGTCTTCTCGAGGAACACCTTCTGTTAGATTATATGGTATATGGCGATAATTATTCCGGCCCGAGGGCCTTACCACAAACCCAATCTTTTTCAATGTACACAATGAAATCCCTATATTAATTTTTGTCACGTGTATTCTAGGCATACTGGAAATACTTGTATGTAAATTTTTCAGTGGAATTTGATATTCAAATTGCCCACGTTTACCTGGCTGTAAACGATTTTATCAAGATGAAATGAACGAATTAAAACAAAGAGTGCTTTTAATAGGTTATGTGCAACATTTCATTGTAAGTTGTAACACAGACAGCCTTGTTTAAGAACATGACAAATATTTATTGAAAAAAAAATTCAGGGATTCAGGGATTTTCATAGGAGGTAAAATTATATCATTGAATCGTGTTTCAATTTCGTTTCTTGGAATAGCAAACAGATTCCAAAACGAATGAGTTATGATGGAAACCAATGCACTCTTAATTGAAAGCTTTTTGACAAGGGAAGTGAGAGTTTTGCTGTAGTTGATGACAGACTAGCATTAAGAAAGCTATAAGTCAGTAAACGATCCTGATGGTTATATCACTGTAAAATGCAGCGGAAACAGACGATATGTAACGCTGGTGTTTCCATGCTAACTAGCTAGACTGTATGTTTCATGTTCTCTGTCAATTTAAGGGATAGGACTTCGAGAAACACTCAGCAGATCCGTCTGTTTCAGAAAGCTTTGCTTGACTTCGGTGGAATTTTGACTTCCGTAGAATCTTTTAGCAGAAAGGTTTTGTCATATTGGCAAGAATGACAAAAATTTTGAAGCTGATTAAAAGTATTGCAAAACCAAAAATCTATATGTCATAAAAATGTTTTTTGAGATATCAATTTTTTGAGAGCTTTTGAGACCCATTACTCATTTGTAAGATTAAATACATGATCACTCCAAGAAAGAATTAATAGAATTAATTTTCAAAAAATCCCCAGAAAACAGAACTACTGGAAGATAATGACTTCTGGATTAATTTAATAAATTTAAAACAAAAATGGTTTTGGTCTTTTTGTTAGATGTCCTAATTAATCTTGCATTATTATTTTATGACCATGCATTTTTTAATTTGGGAAATAAAACTGTAGAAAGACCTATGATATTATAATTGTATATGAATCACCTAAATCTTGTTATTTTTGTTATATTACAAATGCCTAATTTCCTTACTCTGATTTGTAATACTGAAACTGTTACAGACTTGTTTATGCGTAAGATTAAGACCTGATTTAGGTATAAAGGTTAAGACCAACATCTGGATGGATTAAAGTCAATTCTACTACAGTAGAGACAGATTAATACCAGCTAAATGAAGAGGATTAACAGTAGATTATCATTAGATTAGGATTATCACATAAGGAATGGAAATGCTGATTGCCTGATCCTGATTTAAGTTATGTAAATTAAATTTATCTGTAGTATTAATCTCTGAATCAAGTCATGTCACAGTAGGTGGTTATCTCCCTTTGAATCTGGCTTTTGGAAATTGAAGCTTGATTACAAGAAATGGCTCAATACTCACGGGGTTCACAGTTTTACCGTCTCCACTTGGGGATGTCAAGGGCTATGTTGTATATTGTATTATATATAGAAATGTTAAATGACATTTATCATATGACTAAATATTGTTTATGCACCGGCAATCACAGCATGGGGTTGTCTACCCGTGGAAAGGTGACTTAATGTTAAAGAACATGCTTCAAAAACAAGATATAATCAAAAGCAGTTTATTTTTAACACATTCAGACATGTTTGTTAATATTTAAAGATTGTATGGAAAAAAATGTCAATTATATATATATAAGACTTTGCATTTGCAATATCATGTCGTCATTGACTGTTCAAACCCAATATAGGTTTGTTCTTCAAAATAGAATCATGATAAACGCGATCATTTAACAGCTTCAGTGAGTATGTATGGGGATTATGTCTATCAGTACTAATTAGAGATAAAATTTCAACTGGTGTAGATAAAATTTGACAAGTTCACATGTAGCCTCACCAGTGATTAAACTTCTAAATGTAATACGAGCACAGTACTGATTTATACGGACCCTTTAAAGGTTAGTGCCTTGTCAGCTTTTTGAAAAAAATCAGTTTGGATACAATTGTTTTAATAGCTTTAAAGATTATGTTCATTTCATTTTAAAAAAATGTGCCTGTTCAATGTGACTACCCGTATATATTTCTGTGGAAATTTATAAGTTATGAGGAATAATAAATCAAATGTTAGGTTAAGCTTGCTGAGGGTGTGTTGAGAGATAGCTTTATTTGTGTGGGTGCTGTAATAGTTACGTGGTATGGGCGAGCTATTGGTCTGAATGAATGTAGGAAAGATCAATCGATTGGTTGTCTGGTATTCGTGGGTTTAACTTGTACCACAGGTACAGCCGGAGATCAACAATTCTGACGGGGCCTTTATCAACCATAAAGAGGGCGTCCGAAGGTTGGTTTATGGGGATTTCAAAGGAGAAAGGTAGCCAGCTCGTAATGATAACATTGTCATTTCGCTAGGTAGAATCGTAAATGTCCAGACAAAATGTTATTGAAAGTTTGACTCGCAAAATTTTGTGGTGTCACAAATTTGGGTGTTTATTAAAAGATACGAAAGGCATTGATCAAAGTCAGGCTGATTGACAAATATTGGTTTTGTTCCGGTCATCATAGATAGCACTGGACGTTGCTGGACACACAATAAAGATTTACCTAGGAGATATTGGGCTATAGGTGACAAATGAAATTGGTCACCGTGACAGTTTATGTCTCAGAGCTGGTGTTACTGGTCATATCTCTTCAGGATAATAACAGTTGTGTTTAGTGAACGGAACAGAGATAATATCTGAAGAGTGTCAATATTTAATATCAATAGGGTGCGATATTTCCATTAACTGATGTTTTAAAAATGGAATTAATCAATAAATTCCATTGAAAATCAGATTTAATTCTAAAAATGTCAGCCAAGCTGAAGTAAAAATAATAATTTGGCACCGAAAAAACAACAACAACAGAAATACAGGTATATTTAATTGAGAAAATACTTATATTTTCAACTTGAATTTCTGCAAATTACTGTTTAGATAATTTTATATTAAGGAAACATACATGCTATTCCATTATTAAACCAAAATATGCATGTGTAATATAACTGATTGTTGCTCTTTGATATATAATCCTCATTAATTCAACAGATTTGGGGGGCGGAGCCTAATTCTGTGATCTGGGGCCCCAGGCCCTGACACTGCATATGTTTATCCGGAGCACATGGTCTGTGCCAAAAGGTTGACCTCTCCTGCTGACACTATATACACTACCATGACTCACTGTGTTTTCAGTTTTCAAAGTCTGTCCTACTTATATTTCTGGAATTAACACTGAAGTAATTTTATTTTATTCTGTTTCCTGTGCTGTCTGCCATTTCAGATATAAAACTGATTAAACTTTGCTGTGTTTTTGCCACAGAACAATGCCCATGATTGTTTTGGGTTTATATGACTGTGTAGGAATTCCTGCAGGTCTAATATACAAGGTCCATTTTCCATCGTTATATTATAAAACGTGTCGACAAATTATTTTGGAAGTGTGTTTTTATAAATTATCATTTGCAAATGATATATTGTATACTTTATATAAATAACAGTTAATTAATAAGATGGAAGTTTGAACTCTTACTTTCATTAATGTTGACAAGAACAATGACAGCTATGATGATGATGATGACAACTATGACGATTATGATGATGACTATGACGATGATTATGACGATTATGATGATGATGATGACGACTATGACGGTGATGATGACGACTATGACGATGATTATGACGATTATGATGATGATGATGACGACTATGACGACAATTATGTTGATTATGATGATGATGATGACGACTATGATGGTGATGATGACAACTATGATGAAGATTATGCCGATTATGACAATGATGATGACGACTATGACGATGATGATGACGACTATGACGGTGATGATGATGACTACAATATGACAGATAGGTACAGCTGAGGTGAAATGATGATAGATGAATGGTAATAATGCAATAAAATTTCAAGGTCAAAGTGCAGAGGTCACTGAGCTCTTAGAATGTATGCAAGTCACAAACAACATGGAGACAATTAATACATGAGCTATTACTGTGGACAAGTAGGGGTCAAACCAGATGTCAGTTTAGGGGTCATCACCCTGCTACTGGTCAGACAGAATAAAATGTCTGCCAAGACAAATATTGTAGTTGTCTATCATACAAATATTTGTTGGAGAGGAGAGTGTTTATATTATAGTCGAAGGATTGAGAAATATGTTGGGTTATGTGTGTGATTTTGTATTTGTATTCCTGGAGGCCAAATGTTACATGTACCATTTTAATATTATACGAATGGGGATCTTATATAATAATATTGACCAAGGGTCAGAGATTTATAGGGTTCTGGTGGTGTATTTCTAAATGTGTAAAAATGATATTAAAGGTAAATCCGGATGTTTGTTTGAAGAAAGTAACATTATTAGGATATAATGTCTTTTACGAGAACATCAAATGTTAGTAGTTTTCTGGCCGTAAACAGGTAAAGAGAGGTCGTAATCTAGGTTACTTGGGTAGGACTTAACATAAGCAACACCCACACACCAAACATTGGTGGGATTATCTGTATGGGTCAGAGGCAACCTGTGATGACACTGACTTACAGAGAGATGTCTCCCCTAGGACTATTATTTAATACATTATCATGATATAAATGTTGATTGTCTGATTTGTTTTATTATTTTTCAATATAGTATAATTTAGTTATTACGTTAATTATACTGTTGTATTAATCATCAGTGGTCTCCCTTACCTGTTGACTACATGCAGCATTGGAGATTCTCCCAGGTTTGTCACGTGACACGTTCATATTTTGAATTATTTCTGCATGCCCGCCAGACCTGGTGTAACTGTTGTGATCCCATGTATTGCCTTGACATCCTGTATGCTTCCTCCCCTAATCAGCATCACAAAAAGAATGAGCTGATCAAAAAAATAATTACGGGCCATGTAATTCCAACTTTACGATAAAATTATGTCCTTTTGTGACATCATGAATGAATGGCCCGTGTAACTGGCATGGTATATACTATAGGCAATCATAAGGTTGATTTATCTACTGATTTTCTGGTAACAATATAGAACCTAGGGCTGCAACGATAGGTCTTATCGCGGTATTTTCTTTTGTATTGTATCAAAATGTTTTGTTTGCCTTTATCACGATACACTAACAGTATTTAAATTATCAATCAATTTTTATCAAACTCTAAAAAAGCGTACCGAGGTTCTTAATTTTTTTCAATCCTGCAGTAAAGATGTGGTCCACTGTGCAGTCCTACCCAAAGTACTAGAAATTATACAAAGATATGTTTTGATAGAAATTACGATTGAAGTCTACGACAAAAAGTCCTGCACTCAATCATTATGAAGTTGACCTTTTAAGCAGATATTTACGTAAGCATCGTGCCACAATACGTATTATATTGTGAGGTATGACTATCGCTGCAGCCCTAATAAAACCTTAAAAAAGACATCATTCTCATGAAATGTAAACAGATAGCATCATGAATGTGCAACGTCATAGTTGAAATTACCCATGCTCAACCTGTGCCCTGACATTTAAATGAAGCATGGGTCATTTTATGAAAATTGAGAGAGAGAATTTGAATTAATTAATAGACTATGAGGTTGCCTGCTTTGTTATATGTTCAGTTGTGTACTTTTACTCGTTAATAAAACAATGAAGTTGCGGTTTATGCATGTAAACATTTTAGATTTAGTGAAAACTTTGATCGTTAATTACCCATGTTGTTGTCTGGTGTTGTTACCACAGTCGCCCTTGTTGATCTGCGATTTGGTGCTGTAACGAATGTTTAAATTATACTAGTGGTTAGCTCTGCAAACCGTCACAATTTATTGATGTGAAAATATTTGAAAGAACATATTTTGTGAAATTTGAGCAGAGAACTGCATGTTTTTGTATATCAATTAGCAAACTTACCTCCTGGAGTAAATTCCTAGTTAAAAAATATGACGTTGATCTCTCAACAAGTCGAAATAAAATTGTGGTAGAAAGAACTTGTTATCACTGTTTAACATGTTTATCAAATTCTTGTTAGTTGATTTACAAAATTCAAGATTTTTTTTTTTTTTTTTAGAATCGGTTAGTAACTATCTGGAGATTAGATAAACATGAGATAGAGTCATTCGATGTAAATCTCTCTTGAAGCATGGACTCCCTGGTTTCTTTCACCTGTATTTATTTCATTTGTGAATTTTTCCAATTTTTTTTTTGCTTTGTTGACCACATGGATGCTTCACCATTGACCATTTCTGGTTACTGCAAATATACTTATTTTAGTGGTAATCTTATTTTAGCATTTTCGATACCCACATGTACAAGGTATACCAAATCAAGTCACTAATCTGTGGAACTTGATAATACCCTAAAATTTGAATGCACTAAAATAAGAATGTTTACAGTAATTTACAGAAACTGGTGGATACATGGTACGCATGTTGAAGATGTTTGATAAAATGTCCTCTTTTAATTTCTGTCATTTTGTTATTTATCAGTTAATTTGCAGTGTGTTATATATATATATATTTGAGTTACGTATTTAGATTTTGTATTATGTGATGTTGATGAAATTCTACTGTTTGATAGTTGCCTGTATATATACAACACAGTGTCTGCACTATATTTTGATAGTGTATATAATTCCATGAGAAAAATATTCTCATGTATCATATGAATTTTTTGGTAGGAGGATGCCAGAGTTATCTCCCATTGAGTAATGTTTAGGAATTGCATAGTAGAACTGTTTGAGTCAAGGTTTAAACACCACATCGACAATAACGTGGACTTGAAACAAATTAAGAAAAATAAATTATAAATCCTTCATATTGCAAATTTGTTGTTGAACATTTGTTATTTATTTAGGAACCTGAATTAGAAAACAAGAAAATGTGATAAAAGTTAAAAGTATCATAACCTAACAATGTTTTTAAGAAATGTTCATTATTTTAATGTCCTGATTGAAGCATGAATATTAATTAACTAATTATATACTGGACAGGTTTCTCTCTATTTTATTGTTATACCTGAATACCATAAATATTACAAGTTATATATCTACATAATGTATAAAAATAATTAATATATAATTCATGTCATAGATTATCACTTATATCGTAGACATTGTTTGAGCCCGTACTTAATCTGACTTAAGTAAGATTGAGTACTATCAGAAGATTCAATTGATTCAAGCCAGTGAATAAATTATCCGCCATCATAACTAATCAATTGTTATTATAGAAAACAAAATTATTCTGTCACAGACAAAATTATACTGTTGCAAATTTATTTCCCTATCATAAAACAGAGAGGTACAGTGATAAATCACAGATTTTGTGGTTTATTTTAATGACAAGACATGAACAATCATTATTTCATTCACATATATAGTGTCATTTGTCATATTTTTACCTGAGTTTTATAACAATTTTATGTACCTGAGGCAGGTAAATCTATATGTATTGACATTGTTTTTAATGAAATTACCTTTTTTCCCCCAGGCTGGACGACGGATATTGGATCTTTTTACCGACCTCAAAGATGGACATAACCTGATATCACTTTTAGAAGTGCTGGCTCACGAATCACTGGTAAATTTGATACCCTACATAAATAATTACTAAAAATACAAAAGTAGGGAAACAGGTTTTAAAAAATATACTTTCTCCATTTAAGACTCATCAGTGGTGAGTGTAAAAAGAATGAGATCCAAGTTAACAGTGTTCCAAAACACTTAAAAATACCGTCAAAGAGGAAAAGTGTCTACGCACCCTTAATTACATCAAAACTTTTTTTTATATAAGACTTGGATTTTTTTTATATAAGACTTGGAAAGGTTGATAACCTATGTGACACTTGTAAGGTTGATATGGGAACCCTTTGTGATAATACCTGGTAAAGTTGGGAATGATACCTTTCGTGAAAAAAACTGATAAGGTTAAGGAAGATACCATGTGATATCCTAGGTAAGGTTGGAGAAATGTTTGAGTTATCCAGAAGTATAGCATCTGTAAGGACCAAATTACCTGTTAGATTCCATCAGAATATACTATTTATCTGTGTTTTAGTTGGTACATGTATCCATAAGATATTCAGACTTTTTTTTTCATATTCTTAAATTGTATTCCTTCCTAGTAAACTATGTGTTATAAAACCAGTATTTCCTACAAGATCACCAGATACAAGTAAGGGGGAACAACTCTGTTAGCCTTGCAGCAATTTGGTACAGTGTGTTGAAAAAGAAATAAAGGACCTCCAAATTCAGAGCAATTGAAAACAAAAAAAATGCTGGAATTTAAATATAAATTTGTAAATTGCTGCAGTACTCTAGAACAGAGATAATCTGATAAGCCACTTCATTTTTATAATGTAGGGAATTATCACAATTGAACCTTTTTTATTTATTTTTTAATAATCCACTTGAGGCTGGAACATATGTTTGATTAGAATTAAGATTAATCCTGTAACAATAAGCAATATGTAGGTAGTGGTCTAACAATGACATGATTGTGACCTAAAGTGTCTGTTTTATCATTGCAGCCAAGAGAAAAGGGGCGCATGAAGTTCCACAAGATTCAAAATGTACAGATAGCACTGGAGTTTCTGGCTCGGAAAGGGGTAAGAATGGAGAATTTAAGTCAATATCTACCATTGCTTGTATATACATAGCAAAGCGCTTTCAACTTCTGATTTCTAGTCAGTTGTGTGGAGTTTGATTTTTGACTTCTGAGATAGTGTTTTGGGGCATGACTTCAGACTAAGAGAGGGATAATGGGTTACGACTTCTGGTTCCTGAAACAGGGGTATAGGGGTTGATTCCTGGTAAACTGCCTCTCAACCTGAGTTATATTTTTATTAGCGGTAGGATAGGCTTGGACTTAATTGTCAGATGCCAACTGTCCAGCCCTGACTGACGCTTTAATTATGCCTTGTGCTATAACACAAAAATTCCATCATTGACTGTTATAGCCGATACGTTGATATGTCAAGACTTTCTTTACTCACAAAATTTGACCCTTTGACACAGACGAGTATCATCGACTGAAATAATTTGTTTTTCATTACGAGTAAAACACAAAATACAAGCACTAGGTCATTGTTATCTAAAAATATACATGATTGGGTAATGAAATCATCATTGCTATCTCTAAGTCTTAATAATAAATCTAAGATAGATAAGGCACGGGTGTTCATTTCAACCCTATCTGTCTCAATACACCTGTCGAAACAAATAATCGTCAGGTGGAGATATTTTTTAGAAACTTTGGGAGAGTTTATTTCTTTTCTTTTCTTCTTTTACAATATTATTGTACCGTTATTTTTTTTCATTTCAATATTCTTCATTTTATGATTAAAAGATTCCTGTACTGTTGTGTGTATATAAGAAGTTTGTTCGGAGTTAACTTCCTGTGTAAGTAGGTAACTGAAAGTTTATTAGCATCATTTTCTTGTTAGGTTATGTTAAAATATAAGAAAAGTTTCCTGTAGCACGCTTAGAAATTAAAGTTGGACATTATTCTGTTCTGTTGTATTCATTCTTCTATTTAGAAATGAATAAAAACGGGAAATCTCTAATTATTTGCACCATATCAGGATTATGTTACTGGAAAATCACCTCACTATGGGATTACCGAGTTTTCTTGACTATTACTTAAGTTTTGCTTCAAAGGTTAAAACAGTTAATTTTCATTATGTTTTAATTGTTAATGATAGAACCAGAAATTATGTTTTAATTGTTAATGATAGAACTGGTTCAACTGTAGCAAAATGTTATTTTTTATTGTACTTAAGGGAAAGTGTTATCCATCAAATTGACCTATTTGTTTCAAATGTCTTGAGTTTAAAATGACATAATCGAGAGAACGTCCTTAAATCTAACACCAATCGCAAGTATAATACGTAAGGTAGCGTATAGCATACATCGCACAAAGTAGCCGACTTATTACCAGATTGAGGAACAACTTTCGGAAGCAGGTGATGAGCACCCTTGTAATGCTATTATAGACTCTAAACAAGAGAATGTCCTTAAACCTTACACAAATCGCAAGTGTAACATGTAAGGTAGCGTACGTCGTACAAAGTAGCTGATTTACTACAGTGTACCAGATTGAGGAACAACTTTCTGAAGCGGGTGATGAGCACCTTTGTAATGCTATTATAGCCTCTAAACAAGAGAATTTCTCTAAAGTTCCAGAATGTTTAAACAAAAAAAGGTTAACAACATTCCTTGCCCTGTTGCCTTGTTTGTGTTATAGACTTAAACAATTTTACAACAAGTTTTAGTTAGAATTGTAGCAAACATAACGTCAAAAAAAAAACAAATCTTGGATCATTAACGGAAGCTATAGAGACTTGTACCAATGCTGGTCTTCGTACAGCCGTTAATGATACGGTAAACAACAGATTCGGGGAGAGGAATGCAACAAAACCTGGACATTTTAATTCTTCGTTTACACTTCTGAGGTATTTGAAGGAGAACACTTGATTTAGGGAGGGTAGGAACCCATGGTAATGAAATGAACACAAATGTCAATTATTTTTCTTGATATCCTAATCCATCAACAACAGTTGGCGTGATTCTTCATCTAGTACAGTTGTACTCTCGACACAAATGGGGAGGTTTACAGATAAACTTACTGTTTGGCTAAGTTACAAGTAGAGGCTTAACTTTTAAAAACTTTTTAAAAACACTTCAAGTTGTAAATTTAAACATATAATTTTTGTTTTGTTTATAAACAAATTTTATGGTTCATGTTCTTTGATGTCCCGAGTACCAACACATGCTTGAGCCATTGATTTCAATAATTTTGAACATATCTGAGGTAAAGAATTTAGATTACCAAACTTAAATATAACAAACATAAAAGTCTCAAAAACTCAGGCTTAAATGAACCGTTCAGTTTGACTGTAGTTAATTAAGCTATGAACCACTCGTTTGTCTGTAGTTAATCAGACTATGAACCACTTGTTTGACTAGTTAATCAGACTATGAACCAATCAGTTTGACTGTAGTTAATCAGAATATGAACCATTCACTTTGACTAGTTAATTAAGCTATGAACCACTCAGTTTGTAGTTCATCAGGCTATGAATCTGTTCTTTTAGTTGTATGACATATTTATGCTGACGTATGGTATTTTCTTAATTATTGAAACTGAAAACAAATAGTGTATATAGTAGTGATCTCTGTTCTCCAAGGGTGGTCCCCATTAGCCAGGGCCTCCCTGATGCTTTTCTAGAGAGATGAAGGGATGTGTCACTTCCTACGGCTCTGCTCATTTAGGATGAACTTCTTATCATTTACTTACTTGTAATTGTTTGTTGATGTAGGTTTCACAATCATTTAAATATTTAAAATAGGATTTATCTGTTTCTACTGCATTCCTATAGGAAATCCAAAGATAAACAGAAATATAGTTCCCATTGTTCAAAATTAAGATTAAAATAGAAATTTGTATGATCAGTCATGAAATAATTGCTTTTGTTTCAGAAAAAAACGATATGAATTTACAAAATATGTTATCTTTTAGTTAAATTACTCATATAATAAGCTCAAAGGCATTCAATGGAAGTTGGAGAAGATAGGACATCAGTACGTACAAAAATAGATAAAAATGGAAAATGCTCAGCAGTAAGTCGTGCTGACACGGATAAGAGGATTACCTAAACAAGATTACGGTTATAATCATTTCATCTCCTGATCATATCCATGGCAGTGTTATATACTAGAGAGACCTGCTGGGATATACTAGAGAGACCTGCTGGGCTATACTAGAGAGACCTGCTGGGATATACTAGAGGGACCTGCTGGGATATACTAGAGAGACCTGCTGGGCTATACTAGAGAGACCTGCTGGGATATACTAGAGGGACCTGCTGGGATATACTAGAGAGACCTGCTGGGAGTTACTAGAGAGACCTGCTGGGATATACTAGAGAGCCCTGCTGGGATATACTAGAGAGACCTGCTGGGATGTACTAGAGAGACCTTCTGGGATATACTAGAGAGACCTGCTGGGATATATTAGCGAGACCTGCTGGGGGTTACTAGAGAGACCTGCTCGGATATACTAGAGAGACCTGCTGGGATATATTAGCGAGACCTGCTGGGGGTTACTAGAGAGACCTGCTGGGATATACTAGAGAGTCCTGCTGGGATATACTAGAGAGACCTGCTGGGATGTACTAGAGAGACCTTCTGGGATATACTAGAGAGACCTGCTGGGATATACAAGAGAGACCTGCTGGGATATACTAGAGATACCTGCTGGGATATACTAGAGAGACGTGCTGGGGGTTACTAGAGAGACCTGCTCGGATATACTAGAGAGACCTGCTGGGATATATTAGAGATACCTGCTGGGGGTTACTAGAGAGACCTGCTGGGATATACTAGAGAGTCCTGCTGGGATATACTAGAGAGACCTGCTGGGAGTTACTAGAGAGACCTGCTGGGATATACTAGAGAGTCCTGCTGGGATATACTAGAGAGACCTGCTGGGAGTTACTAGAGAGACCTGCTGGGATATACTAGAGAGAACTGCTGGGATATACTAGAGAGACCTGCTGGGATACACTAGAGATACCTGCTGGGGTATACTAGAGATACCTGCTGGGATATAATAGAGAGACCTGCTGGGGGTTACTAGAGAGACCTGCTGGGATATACTAGAGAGCCCTGCTGGGATATACTAGAGAGACCTGCTGGGGGTTACTAGAGAGACCTGCTCGGATATACTAGAGAGACCTGCTGGGATATATTAGAGATACCTGCTGGGGGTTACTAGAGAGACCTGCTGGGATATACTAGAGAGACCTGCTGGGATATACTAGAGAGACCTGCTGGGGGTTGCTATGATATGTGAAACTGACTCATCCAGGCAGAAGAAAATCACATTATGATTTTGTAGCACAGTGTTGTAGCCTTTTCTGTAATGTTATGACAGATTAAAGCACATTGTTGTTGTCACTTAGTTAAGATATGTAGAGATTGCATCCTCATGTGTCAAATGTTAACATATTAATGGGATTTGTCCGATATTCTTTTTTGATAATTTTCAAAATCAACAGTTTAGCAAATTAACTGTAAAAAGACTTAAAATATTGAGAATCTTGCATATGCACCAAATTTGCAGGCTTCAATTTCATTATTTTCATCATTTTACCCATGTCCACCCTTATATAAATCCAGTAGACTCTACCATGCATTGATTTGGATGAATCCATTAAGGTCTACAGTGGGGAAAGGGTAAACGATTAATTGTAATGACTATATACCTACATTCTTTCTTCACTTACAAAGTAAATGTATTTTCATCAAAGTTTAATCAAGTATGAGAATACCTTGGGATGAGTTTGTATTTCAGGGTCCCAAGGTCAAAGCCAAGGTCACTGTTGCTATTTATGGGTCAAGCACAGGGCTAAGAGGGTATTCACATCTGACAGATATTCTTGTTTCAGAATAATAGTTTTCGTTGTAATCTTCTCTTTTCAGATCAAACTTGTAAACATTCGATCAGATGAAATCGTCGACGGCAACCCAAAACTAACGCTAGGGCTCCTCTGGACCATAATCCTCCATTTCCAGGTAAGTCAAAGTAAACAAAATGGTAAACAATGGATGTGCACACTGACACAGAAGCATTGTTTATATCTAGTTTTGTTGTCTTTCCTAAGATGATGCTGTCTACAAAACATCAAAAACGATACGATAATGAAATCCTATGTTTGATGTCTTTTTCAGGCAGTTGTATTTATTATTTCAGGGTAGAGACGTTCCCATGACAAACATGCAGTGCTCCTATCAGGATTGACCTAGTGCCATTACATAATATACTTTAAGTGAAAGTTTCAGAAAAAAGGAATGTTGATAACAAATACATCTTGATAAATGACAAGCATTTTTTTGCAGGAACCCCCCCCCCTCCCCCAAATTTTTTCAACAACATTGGTTTTTGTGTAGAATTGGCGATTTCGAGGATAGATAAATATCAACTATTGTTGGTCGATTTTATCATCTCATGCCCTTGATTGGTCGGTTTTATCTTCTCATGCTCTTGATTGGTCGGTTTTATCATCTCATGCTCTTGATTGGTCGGTTTCTATCATGAAGATGTCTAGGAAGTCTTTACAGGACGTGATGGATTGGTGTATATTTGTTGTTATTTAGTTGATAGGATTTTGTTGCTGACAGAACCGTCTGCAAATTTTGTGTCGTTAAACCAAGATCTGTCGGATATGTTTTCAACGTTTCTGCTGCAAAGTGACAGCAACAGACCGACCTACAGCAGTTGAAATTCATCTGCAGTCAATTCTGCACCAATCAAAACAGGGCTGACATTTGCTGCATGTTTTTTTCTGGTTCTGCTGTCAGTGTACTGTAATTAAACCCTAAATTATATGGCGCAGGTAGAGAAAAAGTGTTGATAAAGGTGTGATAGTATCAGAAGTTGAAAGTTGATTGACTTGTTATAGAATAGATTAAAAACAGGTTCTGACAATCATGGAAGCTTTGATTATATCCGAGTTGGAAATGTGATTTGCTTGTTAGTAACCGAAAAAGAAATTAATTACATAATCAAGCTATCAGTCAATAGATAGAGCTAGGAAGGTAAAATAGCTGGCTGGATAAAATGGATGTAGGAAGGTAAAATAGCTGGCTGGATAAAATGGATGGTTGTTAAGGCAGAGAACAGGTGATGTTAACACAATATATGATTTCTTATTTATAGCCATGTCTGCCATAAGGTTTAATATGGAAATTAAACCATGTTTATATCATGTACTGTAGATGGTTGTTCTTACCTGACTGTTAAATTAGGATTCGATTTGAAGGCTAAGACCCCACATCTCGTCTGTAACAGCGAAGCATCAGCCTGCTTATCTCCCTTTAACAGGGAAAGCGTCTCCTCTTTGTCAGTTGAATATCTAACCCTCTAGTTGTCTTAATATATCTATCAATGTTTATTGAAATAAACATCTTGATTGCTTACTCTGGTCTCCAGTCTGTGTTTAGTGGTCGAGTCACATTGTGAAAGATGGGGAAAAAATTACGGATAAGCTATCACCCTATGATAGTAAAGCGTGCAGTTACCCTAAGCCATTGAGTCATCAGTTTTTGTGTTTCTGTTTCTGTCTGCTGCAAATGGAGAAAACATGTGCACATTAAAAGGAAAAGATTTCTTGGTTCCAGATAAGATATTTATATGAAAGAAAAAATATTTGCTTATCTTTGATCGGTTAGTCAGCACATTTTTTCCTGATGTAGAGTATTTTGTGAATTACAACAGCGATCTTATGTGTTTGTATCAGGCCCTTGTTTGATAAAAGTTTCCTGAGAATATAGAGATATCTGTCAACAATGGCGAGGAAAACTCACAAAGAACTGATTGTATTCGTTCTTGATTGCTTTAGAAAAAAGAATCTTGGAAACATGTTAACATTATGGCTTTGTTGAAGTCATTTGTTCCCAGTGTTTATCTGAAAAATGTGAGGATACAGACAGTTTGTCGATGAAAAAATACAGCTATCTGCTGCTAGTATATATCACTTGACAGTTTTCTTAGGTTTTTAAGAAATTGGTTTACTTGTAGATTGCTTTTGTTTAAAGTTGTCTGCCCTTAGCTGTACCATATCAGAGTAAAACATTTCAATAACCCAGACTAGTTCACATTGAACTGAAGATCAGAGTGAAACAAACATTTATATAACCCAGACTTGTTCACATTGAACAAGATCAGAGAGAAACAAACATTTCTATAGCAGGGTTGCCAACCTCTTAGGAGTCCAGTGTGGGAGATCTCCCTCCACTGGGTTTTTCAATGTGTGAGACTTTTGACGGCGTCGCAGCGTAACGTCGTTTTGGGTGTTAATTAAGATAACATTTACAAATGTATCAAACAAATCCTGGCTTTCTCTGACTACTATAACATCTGCATTGTTGATATTTTCACTTCAAGATCTTTGTAGGAAAATAAAACAAAACATTTTTTGCAGATATATAAAAGATTTTTATTTATTACACAAAAAAAACTGACATCAGAAATGCAACACATCATATAATCAAAGGCCTTTCTTGTAACGATTCCACCCTTGCCTAGAACAGGTAGCAGTCTTTTTTCTGTATTTCCATGACCTGTTTAAAAAACAGTTCATATCAAAAGTAAGAACTTTACCATAGTAACATGAAAAAGTTCATAACATGAAAATATGATAATTTGACAGTGAAATTTTTTTTACAATTACTTCTGGCTACTATTCTAAGCAACAAATAACAGTAAGACCCTTAGCATTTATACCACGTTTGCAAAATCCGATCACGTTATTTTTTCATCGCATCAGATTAAAATTGTTTATTACTACAAGTCTCTGGTGTGTGAAATCATATACGCCACTTTACTGCAAAAAATAACTTCGAACTTTTCATCAGCCATCAGCGGCTGTCTGTTCGTGATTCAAGAATCGTTTTCTCTTAATATTTGTGAAGGCAGGGCCTAAAAACAATCTCCTAATACACGACGATATTATTTAAAACTTTCTTTTTCTGTGCGATAGGTACGTTCAATATTAAGTTTACGAGTGAAAACAACTTGATTGATTGATTGATAGGTTTTATGTCCGCTTCACTACCGAGTAGTTCGGTATAATTATCCACCAGACGATTGTGAAAACAACTCACCTTACGATATATTACATTCGTTTCCACCGGATGTAAAGCGACACCTCTCGTCAGCTCACTTCCAAAGCACAACGTTGCAATAAGAGTTATTCCCCTTTGTACGACTCAAGCTAAAAATTGCCGATTTATGGCTTCGCGTGGGATAGAGGGAGAATATTTTCGAATGCGTGAGATTTATACCTCACGTGGCGTGAGGATTGTTTCAGCGTGAGTAAGGACGTTTTTGCGTGAGTTTTTGTCTCACGCCGTGGGAGTTGGCAACCCTGCTATAATCCAGACTAGTTCACATTGAACAAGATCAGGATGAAACAAACATTTCTATAACCCAGACTTGTTCATATAGAACCAGATAGGAGTAAGACAAACATTTGTTACCCTGTTAAACCATGCTTGCTTACATTTAACTAGGCTGGGCATTTCATGTTCTGATCATTAACATAATTTGTCCAAACATTTTGCTTTCACAAAAATTTGTAGAATTTTTTGCATTAACAGCTAAAACTTAAAAAAGTACGAACAACTTTGTAATATGATCTACCTAGTAATTTTTGGCATTTATTTCTAATAGTTAAGTTAATTTTTGTAAGTCGTAAGACAAATTGCTACCTCGCTGTATAATGAAAACATAACTTTAATGGTGGATAAAGTGTCATACAAATGGTAGTTTTGTGATATCATAGGGTGAGAAATGTATAACACTGAATTTCTGGTTTGTTAACATTACTTGTCAGGATTAGTGGTAAGTGGTATAAAAATTGTTATCTAAATCATTGTTATCTAAATCTGTAAATGTAGGAAGCTGCCTTTACATAATGTCTTAAAAAATTGTCAGGAATTCATTTGATTTCTGGTTCCTTTTATGTGAGTGTTGGGATGTATTTTGGGGATCTGTAATTTTCCAGATATGAACCTGCCAAGCCATATGCTGTAATCATACTTATGATTAAACAGTAGGAAATCTAGCTGCTGTATTTACTGCTTGTATATTACACAGCTGTGGTCACACCCATAATAAAATAATACACCCAACAGTATGCTCTGTGTATTGTTTCTAAACAAGCTGCAATCACACATGTGATGAACAGTACACCAATAAATCCAGTGAAGATAAAATCATCTTTGTAGAAGTTTGGAATCACTCTGATGTTTCATTGTGGTAAAGAATTGTAAATCACCTCCATTTCAGCCCTCTGCGTCTTCAGTGTAAACTTAAATAACTTTCAAAGATGATGAAATGTAGTTATTGATAGATACTGTTGAACTTTGCAACAAAGAAGATAATTTTGAGACATATGTTCCTTAACTCATTCACCCCTGGAATTTCATAATGAACTATTCCAACCTTTGAATTGGAAGAGTTCAAATGCGTCTTCAGGGGTCAATGAGTTAACTTTGAATTCTGCAAAACAGTAAAGATTTTAAAAAGTTATCTTTTGACAATCGAATGTAATGGTAGCTAAACTATTTCTCCGTGTTGTCATAGATACGTGCATGCCCCATTTAGATACAAAAGCACTAATTAAGATCACATGTTATTTTTGGTAGGTTCAGCTTTGTCTATTTTCCAGTGTTTTATCTAGAAATCAAACTACAGTTCCAGAGGTTTTTCCTGGTCTGTGTTCTGCCTTGATTCCGGGGTCTGATAAAAGTGCAGACCCTGGGGAGGAGGGGTGAATCACCAAGCACATGTGCATGTTGTAATTTGGAAGAAATCAGGCATGCAGACCCCCATTCCCTCCTCCCCAACCTGGAAGACCCTGGGGCCCTCAGACTGGTGGGGAGAGGGGTCAAAACATGAGGGTCTGTATCAGGAACCTCAATTGGTGGGGAGGGGTCAAATCTAAGAGGCTGTTTCTATCAAAATCGAAAAGTTTTTTGGCATAGGCTAAACTTCACTGGGGACTGTAGCCTGTGTTACTATGTTATATATACCTTCATTACATTTGGAGAAAACACAGAGAAAAAAACATTCATATGTTCCAAACTTTGATGAAATCAGTGTGCTTAAGAAATTAGATATGAGTTGCAGGATGGATGAGTAGATGTGTTATTATGAAGCTTAAGTATAAAATCAGGGGATTGTTGATTGAGGAATATGTTGGATATTAATTAATCTTGAATCTTATGCTCAGACCATTGGATTTTCCAGACTTTTGCTAAACGTAAATGTCTTGACTTATGTACTGTTGGTTTGACTGTAGAGTAGGGACAAACGAAAGACTCAATAAGCAGGGAGGAGGGTATGGTAAAAATGTATTGTGTCAATCCTGAAATAAACTTTGGAACAAACAATATATGTCAGGAAAATTCTGAATTCATAGAAATTATTTATGAAGAACGTTTTTATGGCATTTTGAGCTAGTTGCCTGCAATATCGATTAAAATCTCATTTTCAATCTTGGAATCACACACAGCTTTAATTATATAGTTTTAAATAATCTGTTTTTTAGCACTAGATGTTATGTAATCCATGTCTGCTAAGCTGCTAGCCTGCAAAGTATGATTAATAAAGATATTTACAATACGTATATAAAATTTCAGCAGCTCTTATTTATTGGAAAGATCTGTGAGTGATATATAAGTTAAGGACAGTGATGGCAGCCATTTTTGATAGAAACAACATGGAGTGGCAAGCTCTTCACATGGCTCATTATCTGCATGGAGGAAAACAAATCAGTCTTGATTTTCCATCAAATAATAAAAATGAGAGGAAAGAAATACTTATCTATGAAATACGATAAACCCATAATTCAGTTTCTGCAGATGGCCCAGGCTCTACAGGAAGTCAAGCATGATAGCATATAGCTTGCTGTCACAGTGACTCAAGCAAAAGAAACAAATCGGTTCAAAAATTAAAAACTGTTTGATGATGTCTGTGAAGATGGCAATATTTTTCTGCTTACAGTCAATTTAGAGGATTACAAAATTTTAGATTTGTATTTATTCATAAATCAGATCCTGATATTAGATAACATTTAGTTTTGTGAATTATTTAAAAATACGTAGCTCTGTCTTTGAGTCTAACAGAGTATTGGGTATAATAGCCATTTTGCGGTCCTAATTTTATTTTTGATAAACATTTTTATTTCTTATTTTACATGTTTTACAGTCTACAAAACTTAATCTAACGAAGGAAAAGAAAACTTCTCTGCATGAAATTATGACTCAACTCTCCACAAAATTGCATAACTGCTGACATATATTTTCATCTCTTAACCACAAATGAAATATTAATAGCACATTGCTTGTAATCATAATGTCGGCATGTGCAGTCTCGGTTTGGTTTCACGTCGTCAGGTCTTAGTCATCAGCTCGCAGAGAATATTGTTGCGTTAGGACAGCAGCGGGCAATGTCTATAGGTACATCAGGTTCCACCTAGAGTAATATCAATGAATATGATCAGAACTTTTTATTGAAATCATGGGATGTGAAAATTCTTACCGAAAAATAACATGAGATCCATATCTGCAAAGTTTGAAAATCAAGCTTGCTATCCAGCCAAAATTTAGGAAAAAAAATAATTATTATTTTTTATTAAAAACACTGCAATTTTTGTAAAAGTTCCAAAAACTTTATATGAACTTAATCATGAGTTATTCATGTGGAATGTCAGAAGGCTACAGAAGTTTGGCGATCAAAAACAGCAGTTTGGCGATCTTTTGATGTTGATTGGAAAAATGACAGGTATTTTTATCAATTTAGCTGTATAGTTTTGTTTTATGTTGTCAGCCCCAAAGTACAAGATGTTTCATTAGGAATGCTGAGGAACATCATTTTTCTTTCTAACTCTAAGGGTGTAATTATTTAAATGTTCTTTTTAAAATAGAAGATCTCCATTTAATTGCGATGATGTTCTAGTTACATACCTGGATATTTACTAATTCAACACACTCTAGTTACCCGAAGCTATTCATATGTTTTGAATATCTTATTCCAAAATGATTGAGAATTCTACTTTATGACACATGTTATTGCAGATTCCCCAGAACATAGCGAAACCTCAAAGTCAACATAACAGTATTTTTTTCTAGTAAAGTAACATGACGTACCTAACTAACAAGCCCTTTACTTTAAGTTTGACTGATTTTTTTTTAGTTAATCATTAAGATGACACTTTACAAAACCTAATAGTCTTTAGGGCTGTGTTGGACGCAGGAAGCTCATCAATTTAACAAAGAGGGCTGTGTTGGGTGTGGGACAGTCCCTGATAGACTGGAGGGCTGTGTTGGGTGTGGGATAGTCCCTGATAGACTGGAGGGCTGTGTTGGGTGTGGGACAGTCCCTGATAGACTGGAGGGCTGTGTTGGGTGTGGGATGGTCCCTGATAGACTGGAGGGCTGTGTTGGGTGTGGGACAGTCCCTGATAGACTGGAGGGCTGTGTTGGGTGTGGGACAGTCCCTGATAGACCGGAGGGCTTTGTTGGGCATGGGACAGTCCCTGATAGACTGGAGGGCTGTGTCGGGTGTGGGATGGTCCCTGATAGACTGGAGGGCTGTGTTGGGCATGGGACAGTCCCTGATAGACCGGAGGGCTCTGTCGGGTGTGGGACAGTCCCTGATAGACTGGAGGGCTGTGTTGGGCATGGGACAGTCCCTGATAGACTGGAGGGCTTTGTTGGGCATGGGACAGTCCCTGATAGACTGGAGGGCTGTGTTGGGTGTGGGATGGTCCCTGATAGACCGGAGGGCTTTGTTGGGCGTGGGACAGTCCCTGATAGACTGGAGGGCTGGGTTGGGCATGGGACAGTCCCTGATAGACTGGACGGCTTTGTTGGGCATGGGACAGTCCCTGATAGCCTGGCGGGCTGTGTTGGGTGTGGGACAGTCCCTGATAGACCGGAGAGCTGTATTGGATGTTGGGCAGTCCCTGATGGACTGGAGGGCTGTGTTTGGTGTGGGATGGTCCCTGATAGACCGGAGAGCTGTATTGGATGTTGGGCAGTCCCTGATGGACTGGAGGGCTGTGTTTGGTGTGGGACGGTCCCTGATCGACTGGAGGCCTGTTTTGGGTGTGGGATGGTCCCTGATAAACTGGAGGGCTTTGTTGGATGAGGGACAGACCTGGATAGACTGGAGGGTTGTGTTGGGTGTGGGATGGTCCCTGATAGACTGGAGGGCTGTGTTGGGTGTGGGACAGACCTGGATAGACTGGAGGGTTGTGTTGGGTGTGGGATGGTCCCTGATAGACTGGAGGGCTTTGTTGGATGTGGGATGGTACCTGATAGACTGGAGGGCTTTGTTGGATGTGGGACAGACCTGGATAGACTGGAGGGCTGTGTTGGATGTGGGACAGACCTGGATAGACTGGAGGGTTGTGTTGTATGTGGGACAGACCTGGATAGACTGGAGGGTTGTGTCGGGTGTGGGACAGTCCCTGATGGACCGGATGGCTGTGTTTGGGGTGGGACAGTCTCTG